TTTGACTGGAGTATGTATTTATTTATCGTATGGCACTACAAATAACACAACTAAAAATTTCAGTACTTACACTGTAAATGACCGTCGGATGCTTTCATAAATTATTGTTGGAAAGAACCTGTTGAATTGATGAACGTGTGCTGTTTGGTTTAATGAGGTGGAATCCCTTGTCATGAAGTCTGCCAGCATTATCGAATTATTGAATGACGTATCCACAGCCCACCGAATCAGAAGAGACTGCGTGAAATAATAATTGTTGTCAGACGTTCGCATACGCAACTAGAGCCACAGCAGAATGCCAGCGAGCATTGTTTGCTTTCCCCATCTGCATATGTAGTAGCATATCCGCATTTCACGTTTACAATGTTTGCAGTCCGGCATTGATCTGCCTCAAGGCAAACCAAACAACTGTTCCGCGTTGCAAACGCTACGGCGCGTAGACTTCTGCTTAGCGAGGATATTTTCTGATAAAGTATGGTACTGCACTCGCATGAATTTGAGATTCTTTATCATAACTCAGTTCATTTTGTTTCCCTTGGCCAAATAAAGAATATCCCACAATTCTCGCAAGGCTTGAGTTAAATAGAAAGTAAAATTTTCTTCTTTAGATTGTTATTCGTTTGTTGAAGTCTAAAGTACGCAAGATAGGGTTGTGTATGGAATGGCGAATTATGCAAATGACATTTTCCCATTTACTAGCACATACGGCTCAATATTGCTGGTACACCCAAAGCTGGATTTCCTTTTTCAATGCACAAGTGACTATAGGCTTCTTTCTGCCTAAATCCGATAATATCGATGTGCAATTCATGTGGCTTCAATAGAACCGCGACACTTGCTATACAGCCGGTCAAACAGTGCAATTGCTGCAGGACGCATTGCCTGGTCGAGTACTTTTCCATTTAAGTGTTTGAAACTGCCACATAGATCTGTGATTTAGCATCCATTGGATTTTTCACTAGTTTATTTGAAGTCAAATCTGTATGCCAATAGGCGTAAAGGTACTCGTACATTGAAGTCGAAAATTCAACCCTGCACAAAGAGAATTCTACAACACATATGCAACATGGTTATGAAATATTTTGACAAAATCTTATGAGCCAAATAGGCCATTGTCTCATCTGTGTCTGTGTGTATACTATACATAACTCTGTAAAATGTACTTTAATCATTGGATGAATTTTGGGGTACTTTAGTTATCTATTCTGCTACAGCGGTGTGTCATGTATGAGTGCGTGGAGTCTCCCCAATCATGGCATAGCGCGTCATTTCAGCAAGACCAAAGACGAAGGGAGTCTCATGGCAGGTATATGCAAAATTAGGCACAAGACCAAACATCTATACCAGTTAACGAGTGACTGAAGATGCCAGCAGTGACTAGTTGTTTCTCTTAGTCGTATACATTTTAGCTAGAGAAGATTCTACGGAGTTAGTAAAAGTGCCGGAAGTATGTCCGATAAGAAGAAAGGAAACATATCAAGTTGAGTAGCTGTACTTCTACTGATTTAAGGTCAGACATATTTCAAAGATACAATCATGGGCACATTAATGGATACATTACAGTTATTTCTTAGAGCACTGATACTTTTATTACTGACGCGTTCATAAAAATGTCAAGTATAGAATCAAATTATTTGACTAAAATAATTATCTTAAAAATATTGTATCCATTTCCAAAAGAAGTGAATTGTGATAGATCAACTGTCGCTTAAAGTTCCAACGGAACGACGACAGGTCCACGGAAGTGAGTGACTTGGATTGACGTGGATTGGGTGTGACGAAAATACATTATATTAAATCTGAAAATCAGTGAGTATTATTTCAATTTTTTGAGGTTGGGTGTCGGAAAGGGGCTTATCAAAATTTTTCTCCATATTATGATTTTGAATGGATACTGTAGTACAGTGAGTAAATTTCCTGCTCCAAACAAAGCGCTGATAAAATAATCAGAGCCTAGAAAATGATCCTCAACAAATTCTTGTAATATACTCAGACACCGATTCACTGATATGCTATCTAGGGCCTAGAAATCTGAAACTGACTTGTCCAACTGCAGATACTTCGACCACCACGGCGGACTCTCTCAAAATACAAAGTTCAAAATGGTACGAATAAAATATTTTATTTATATCTTCCATCTTTACAGTATGTTCTGTCAACAGTCCGAACGGCCCAGAAACCGGCCGAGGCAGTGTTAAGCTACGACATTAAAGTGGTGTCTCGCAAGCCCAACACAGTCCAAGGTCGCCCAGTGTCACAAGCGAGCATCAAGTTATGTGTTGTTTTGAAAGTACCAAACACATCATCCTCGCCCATCGCCTTGAAAACAACGAGCGACTTCAAGAATGCGACACTCGCCCAGAACCATTATCGGAATACATTGGTTCGACCGTTACATAACCTTCGACTACTAGTGATGCATGTGCGTTGTTCATAGATACAAAATAAGACGCTGATTCACTGTTTATTTAGATGTTTACTTCCGGGTTTCTGTTTCCGAAACATAACGGCCGAAATAATTAAACGAGGCAACGTCAAACGTGACTGATTCCCAGTTTTCAATGGAATCCTTGACTTTAAATACCACTACTCAATGGATGATAAGTGCTGACGCTCTTCTTGCTTTAGTCCGTCCTTTACCAGCAGCCAAAAAACTTAAGCACCAGCAAAGACAATATAAATTTCTTATGCCAAAAATTCTGCTTCCACTCCGGCGATACATCCCGAAGACGCAACTGCCCGTTCCGCTAAATAATAATCAATGCGTTCTTATTACGTACATGCAGGTACGTACAGATCTAACACCAGTGGCGAACTTGGGCAAGTGCCTCCATAAACATTATTATTGGGATTCTAGACCATTACAATAGCTGTATGCTTTACACTGCAGTTGAGACATTTATTTTAACTGCTTGTATGACTCGTCGAAAGGAGTTCATATACCAAAAATGACCTATATAAAATTTGCATAATAAAAGAAATAGTGAAGATGTGTAAAATCTTAGCGTTTTTTGTTTACTACTCTTATAGTTTATCTAAATTTGGCAAACCTTTTAGATTATTGTATGGTTTGAAGTGCGAGTCTTTGGTTCGATCAGTTGTATCAGTCTTTTAATAGTGCGTATACTTTCATCTGACTATTTTGTGTGAAAAAAATTACCCGTGTTTACGAAAACAATGCACTAGTGGACATAATACTAACATACGGAGAGTGCCAACAAAATGCAGCCGCAGCATGCAGGTTGTATGCGGAAAGGTTTCTTTTAAGTAGTCATCCGTCCCCAAGGATGTTTGTAAATTTAGTTATCAGACTTCGTGACACATGGTATTTAAGAGAACAACGAGGACGTCATGCTGGAAGACCTGCTCAACCTGAAACGTTACAAATTGAGAAGGACATTTTAGAAATGGTCGAAGATGACCCAACAATGAGTACTAGAGCCATAGCAGTTCAAGTTGAAGTTTCTCGTAGTAAAGCATAGAAGAGAATACGACAAGGATAGTATCATCCTCATCATTATCAGCAAGTACAAGGGTTACAACTTAAAGATCATCCTAGAAGAGTTGCATTTTGTCAGTGGCCATCTAGAACAGTTCAGCCAGCAGAAATGAAGATTTTACGAAACTAAGTTTGCGTACAGACGAGGCCACATTTAGACGAAATGGAGTGCACAATTTCCACAACAGTAGAAAATCCGCATGCTGTAAAAAAGGTTCATTTTCAACATAGATTTTCATTTAATATTTGGGCTGGCGTGGTAAATGGCATGCTTATGGACCCCACCTCTTTCCACCTAGACTGACAGTTGAAATTTATTTAGATTTTCTTCGACATAATCTGCCACAATTATTAGAAGATGTCCCTCTAATAAGACAGAATATGTGGTTCCTACATGATGGGGTCCACTACAACTTAGACGAGAAGCTCATCAATATATAATGATTTCCTAAGAGATGGATTTCTTGGGCTGCTCGCTCCCCGGATTTAACGCCTTGGATTTTTGTCTATGGGGCTATATGAAAGACTTGGTGTATCATCATGGAGCAGTAAATACTTTGGAAGAACAGCGCACTGAAAATGCTTGTGATTTATTTCGTGGACACCACGGTTTTATTTTCGAAGCTTGTAAAGACTCGTGGATTCGCTGAGCAAGATTTTGCGTTAATCGAACTTAACTTGATAATGATTCTTTTTCAATAAATCTTAGTTATGTAACCTAACTCTCATTTTATGCAACTTTTATATAGATGATTTTTGGTATATCAACTTCTTTTGACGAGTTCTACAAGTTGTCAGAATAAATTAGTTAACTTTGAGAATACCCTGTATAATACTGTATATTGTAATGAACAAAGTAGTTCCCATGATTCCAACTTACACATACTCACTTGATGAGCAACCTCAAAATTATTGTCGAAATATTCATGTCATATATATTGTGGCATAGATCTACTGGTACTTATGGGTAATTTATTATAATTACTGCCCGTACACAACGGCGGCAAGTCGCCGCGCAGCAGAAACACGTGCGCTTATAATTACATTGATGTAGATGGAACAGCACACACTATTGACGCCCGTTCGATCAAACGCTTGTTAGGTCTCTGAGATTAGCATCACATGTGTCCGATACACGGTGTACGCACGTGCACGACACGTATTTTTGTGTGATTTTATTACTGGCCGTGCCAAAGTTCTAAAGAAATGTACGTTTCTCTGGCATAGTAGCTTTTCCTACGAAGTTTGTTGAACTGAAACCCATCTTTTGTCAGGTTAGCTTTGGAAACAATTCTAATACTCTATTCGTCATTGTCTGTCAGAGCGGTCCGTGGGACCTTCGCTCTTTGTTAACCCTTTCAGGACCGACGCGTCCACGAAAAAACATGCCTGCTGGACCAGAATTTTTGGATGGTCATATGACCCGGTGACGGCTATATCCGACGAAATCATAAAACAGTATAACTCGTTTTTATTCTATTAAAGCATACTTAGAAACACAAACAGCAGTAAATAGAACTAAAGAAGGTCAATCAAAACTGAAATTGAAGCCCTAGAACTAATACCTAAAGACAAAAAAACAAAAATAAGAGCACATCGTATCAAAAAAACTCGAAAGACATTTTACTTCAGAAGTGATTTTCTTCATGATATATTTCGAAGCATGGAGCTGGACACAACCCAACATCGCATTCCTTACACATATATTTGGTTTCTTTTCTTTTCTTAGGTTTTTGTTTGCTGTGGGAACATACATAGCATCTCCTGTAGGCCGATTTGCTGCATTCCTTGACTGTAACCAGATCGGGAAAATGTCTTTGTGTGAGTCTTTTATTTCCAAGATCCAGGTGAACAGATCTCGAAGCTGTTTTTTGAAACCTGCAAAAATCGAAATATAGAACTATTTTTAGACAAAAAGAAATATATATATATGTACCTTTCCAACAACTGCCTAATCACTGCAAGTTGAAATGTGGCCAGTGGAACTTTTGCTGGATTCTGTGTCAAATACATGGCATGAGCATTCAATAAGCATATATCCATGGTACGAAAAAATAGTTTTTTATACCATTTCATGCTTTTGCGCGTTGAATCAATGCTGCTGATCATCATATCACTTCGGTCGACAGCTCCCATTTGGTTGTTATATTCCAAGACACATAATGGCTTCTGAAGGTTTTCATTTGTGACCCTATCCTTCCTTGGAAGACTGACCATTTTATTCTCATGTAGTGTAGTCAGCATAGTGACATCGCGCCGATCTTTCCATTTAACCAGAAACATGTTTTCACTGCTTCTCCAATCACATTCACCCCTCTTAAGTTTTTTGTCTAAAATTGGCATTTCTTTCCTATTTCGTTTCACGGTCCCACATGAATTGGTTTTATTTTCAAATAGAAATGTTGACAAAGTTGGACTGGTATAAAAGTTGTCAGTAAAAAGAGAATGACCCTTGTTCATGTATGGTTGTAATAGATTACTGACAATTTCACCTGTAGCACCCAATCCACGAGTATCTTCTTGTGTGCCTTTGCCTACGTACACTATAAAATCCAAGACGATGCCAGTCTCACAATCACACAAGACATACAGTTTGATTCCGCACCTATGTCTTTTGTTTTGATGTATTGACGAAAACTGAGGCGACCTTTGAAAAGGACCATACTTTCGTCAATAACCAAATGTTCTAAAGGATAAAACTGGGATTTGAAATTCTCTTTTAGAACGGTCAAAATATTTCCAAATTTCCCCAATCGATTGTGAGGCTTTACCTCCTCATTATTAGCGAAATGAAGATAGCGATGTATCTCGCAATATCTGTTTCTTGACATAGTCTGTCCAAAAACGGGAGTGCTGAGTAAGATATCTTGGGTCCAGTACTCTTTGATATTCAGTTTCTTTACACGTGTCATAAGCAGAGTTACAGCGAAAAATACGTAAAGTTCTGGAATGTCAACGCTTTTCCACTTAGGTGCATCTCTTTGAATGGCATACCTATTTGTTTCGATGGCAATGACGTTCATAATATTTTCAGATAAAAGACTCAAAAAGAAATCTACTTCACTGCTTTGATCATTTAAACTAACATTTCTTAATCAGCTATTAGTACTATCAAATGCAAAAACTTGCGGAATAAACTCCTTGTCCGTCCATTTTATTTCTAACCTCGTACGTTCTCTAATAATATCCATTCTCTCGTCCATTGCTGTCTCAGGTTCCAAGACCGGCATTTGAGATGAATCATGCTTGTTGTCTTCACCTTCAGACACTTGCAAGTAGTCGTCCTCTGAAGATTCACCTTCCGAGCTGGGAATAAACTCGCTTCCACTGTCAGCAAAGGGATCTTCGGGCTCATCCTCATCGGAGCTCATAAGATATTGTGAAAGATTTCGGACTTCCTCCGGGGTCAGCCCACAATACCACGCACCTGCATTATCTCTTTTACGCTTATTTCGTCCTTTTCGACCGTCAGATGTACTGGGTTCAGCGTTATCCATCTCGCACAATGAACAGAACAACACAAGAGTCAAACACAAACTAACTATGTCTACAATGTCCCAATAACAACACGAAACTGTTTCAAACCAGTCATAATAAGTAGATTTGCCTGCTCCACGTGTTCGACGCCGAACTCCCCCGAGTGTCCACCGTCGCCCATGTTCGACAGTGTCGGATTTTCAAGCCATTGGTCTGTGGGGAAATGCAGTGCTGAGCGGATTTAGCCGACACTGGTCCCTGTGAGAAGTTTAATTTTTAAAGGTGTCTTAAATGATCGACATTGGTTTTACCAGTTTGTTTCACCCCTGTCGTATACAGCCGACACTGGACCTAGGGACAAGTTTCTTCCTGTCGGAACTTGCCGTCAGCGGTACCGAAAGGGTTAAAGTATCGTAGGTCAGTAGGTCCGTCAGGTCTGGTTGCCCAGATACCAGACGAAGTCAGTGCGCCGATTAAAGGGATGCCTTGCTATTGTTAACTGGTATTCGATTATTTTAAATTAATCAAAAAATTAATTCAGGAATTTGTGTGTGGCAAAAATCGTAATTTTGGTTGGATCTAGAATTGCACGATTTGATTTTGATCACAGTGCGAGACGCGGTCTTGTGTGCTTGCAAACTTGCTCGACTGTGTATTCTACTAACTCACGCAACAGAGGGTTGCTGTGCGGTTCCGCTTGACTATAACGTAACTGCTCCTAATGTTTGATGTAGTCCCTTATGTAAGGGATGCCGAGGTCTCTGTGAAGGGTCTGGTTGGAGACATACCACGATGCGTTTATGATGGTTCGCAAGGTTCTCTTCTGCAAAATTACGCACATGCGTTTTAGCAAGAAAATACCATGCTGCACATGCGTAAGTGATTGCTGGTTGGATAGCCATCTTGTATAGACGAACTTTATTAACCAAACTTAATTTTGAGGTTCTCTATAGTAAAGGGTAGAGCTGCCGAAACGTAATTTGGAATTTAGTTTTTAACGCTTCAGTGTGATTCTGCTAGGTTATTCCCCTGTCAAGAGTGACACCGAGAAACTTAGCAGAATTTCCCCATGGTATGAGAGCTACGTCCACTGAAACCTCAGGTAGGGCGTCGCTACGTTTTTTAGTACAATAGATAGCCTTCGTTTTCGAGTAATTAATTTTGATTAGCCACCGATCTGCCCATTCCAATACCTCATCCACCGCCCTTTGTAACCTGTCATGAACCAGATTCCCGTTACGCGACTGGACCACCAGTGCAGTGTCATCAGCATATAGATAGACTTCACAGTCGCTAGGGCAAGTGACATCATGCGTGAAAAGTGAGTAAAGGATTGGCCCTAGAACTGAACTCTGAGGGACGCCGGCTCTGATGGGCCGTACTGTCGACAAAGAATTATTAATTTTGATCCGAAATTTCCTACCTTCAAGGAATGATTTCAAAATCTTTATGAGCCAAAATGGAAAGCCCTTTTAAATTAGTTTATAGAGGCCCTGTTACACCTTGTCAAATGCCTTCGAGACATCCAGAAACAAGATGCCAGTACTTTCGGTAAGGGTGAAGCGCCTGGTTACTCGCTCCACAAGCCTAACCGCCTGTAACTCCGTACAATGCTCAGACCGAAATCCAAATTGCACGTCAGGAGTCACATGGTGATGTGACGAGAAATTCGCAAGGTTACGTATGTTAGAATCACCTTTTCAGCGAGCTTAGACGGAGCAGACAATAGGCTGATGGAAGATAGTCAGCAGAAGAATCTTCCGAAAAAGAATCTTCTGAGGAAGAATCACTAATGGCTTTGCCGACATCACTGACGCCGTTGGCCCTAAAATATCTCCTGACGGATCTTACGTTGTGTTCCTTCTGGTCGAGATCATTATCAAGATCATAATTGGGAGAGAACTGTCATTCCACAGCATCAGCGAAAACTTCGATCTTGGCCTATGTCCTGAAGACTATCCCCCAGGACCGTGGATATTTCTGAGCGACTTTCCAGAGAGGAGGACTTGAGTCAAGCATCCCCGCCAGAAAGTCGTTCCATTGCTATGGTCTATGATCGGGATATTGGGAAACTCTCTATGAAAGAACTTGTATAGTCCCCAATCAACCCGTTTCCTAGAAGAATTTCCCTCTTCCAAGGTTTGCTCATTACCCATCTCCAGTACGACTGGGAGATGATCGCTAGAAATGTGATATATGATTCGAGAAGTGATACTGTATCTACAGTTTCTAGATATTTCAAAGCCGATGACATCTGGTGCCTGAAGGTGATTAAATGGGTGGTGCGTGGGCTCTTCAGTACTGTGTATGAGGTGCCCGTTTTGCATCGCATGGTTGTACAGTCGAATCCCACTGGTGGAATTCAACCTAGAATGCCATGCTGTGTTTGCAGTTGAAGTCTCCTGCTACAATAAGCGGACCAGAGTAGTCCATAAGGACTTCCAGGTTCGCCTCCTGCAGCCTGGCACCACACCTGACATATACCCATGTGATGTTCAACGGAACGCCTCCCGTCATATTGACTTCCACGGAAGCCGACTCAATGCTCTGCATGTCGGCATTTGTGCTTCTATGGTAGTCAATACCACGTCTTACTAGGACTTCAAAGCCGCCACCCCCGTCCAGTTAATCTATCAGCTCCGATAACATCATAATAGCTGGGCAATCTCCCGGATTAAAATTCTAATCACTTGTCTGACGTCCTGTTTGTAAACGCCACATTAAATCCGCTCCTGTCATTTGTATTTTGAGTATTATGACCTAAAAATGGCGTTTGTTGTTAACAATCCCTCCAAATATAATCTGCGTGCGGTCCTTCAATTTTAAGATTTAAGAGTGGAAGAGAAGAGACGACTGATGAGCCATGCCAGGTGCATTTAGTACTGCATCTACAGACAGGAATGTGGCATGTGTGGAAGGCATTTTTAGAGCAAATCGTCCAATTTCAATCAGAGCAATTTTAGAAAATGTTGGTGTGAGTATGGGATCTGTCCATAGTATCGTAAACAAATTGGGTTACAGCAAAGATTGTGCGCAACGGGTTCCTCGCCTTTTGCCAGAGCACCAAAAGGCTTGCTAAAGGGCTTATCTTTGCAACATCTCACCGCATACAAGCGAAACAGTAATGACTTTCTTTCGTCAATAATTGCTGGCGATGAATCTTGGTGTCCTTATTATGAACCTTCCACTAAGCTGTCATCGATGCAATGGAAACACGCAAATTCTCCGTCACCAAAGAAGTTTAAAGTTCAACCTTCTGCAGACATTTTTTTTCGACCATGAAGGACCCTTGCTCTAGCTTGCTTCAGTTCATATCAACGCAAACCAGTATAATGAAATTTTGAACAATCTCTATCAAGCAATAAGACGAAAACGGCCAGGGAAGCTCTCACGTGGTGTCACTCTTCTGCAAGATAATGCAGTGAAAGATAATCTACAGCGAAAGAGATGGAGGTTATTGGGGCATACAACCTATAGCCCGGATAATAACTCATCGATGTTCACGTGAACATCACTCAACCAACGGTAGTCGGGTTTTCAGTGGCGGGATATAGCTTTTAATGTCGGTAAACTTGATTTATTTTATATGTTTAATA